TAACATAATTTAATATCAAAGAAACTGAATAATTAAATGTCATTATGCAATAAGGCCATCCTATAAATATATTTTAATATGTGATATAAGAGGCTCTGCAAAATTTACTAAGATTACATCTATAATAATTAATATATAAAGTGTCAAAAACATATGGTTTAATACCTAAAAATTGAGATTTTTGGCCTGAGAGTTTTAAGATTAAGAAACGATCATTTAAAAAGACATATTTGTAAATTTTCAGTCCAAGCAAAGATATGTTCTGTGGATAAATACAAAGGTAAAATAAATCAATAGAACACAATATTTAGCTGGACACAGTGGTGCACATCTGCATGCCTGAGGAAGGAGGATCACAAGTTCGAGGCCAGCTTCAGCAACTTAGCAAGGCCCCATCTCAAAGTAAAAAATAAAAATGTGCTGGGGATGTGGCTCAGTAGTTAAGTATGCCTGGATTTAATACCTGGTAGAAAAAAAAAAACTCAATATTTATAAAATGCAGTCTTCTTTTGTGCCCTTACACATTTTTCTTTCCTCTCTTTGGAATACCCTTTCCCTTCTTCTTGCCTTTTGATTTCTCACTTGTCAACTCAACCTACAGGAACCCTGCCATTAGGAGGTATATAGTGTAATCAAAGTAGGGAAAGTCATTATTTGAAGGGAAAATATATGAGTAAATAACAATGAGATTTGACCTAGTTTGAGGAGTCAGGGACTACTTCCCTGAAGAAGGCATACTAGACTACAGATCTGAAGGATTAGTATGAATTACTTAACTGGCATAAATGAAGTTGAAGAATATTTCAGGTGATGAGAACGGGATTCTTTCAAAACAAATAATGAAGGTAAGTAAACTCTCTTGGAGAACTAAGAGGAGCTGATGTAGTTGGGGAGGGGAGGAGAGTCTGCAGAGATAAGAAGGGCCAAACCCATGCAGAGTTTTAGGGTGTTACAAAAGTTTGATCTTGAAGGACTCCAAAGAAGTTTGTAAAGTGGTGGGATGTAATGAGTGTGCAAAACCACAAGATTTGCATTTTTACATAAGTGATATATTCACATTGTTCAAAATCAAAACTACACATAATATCATTCAGTATACTCAAAAATGAAGTTCCTTCCTATTAGGTATACTTAGGGATTTGAGGAAAAAGGAAATAGAAGTGGATGATTTCAAGAGATAATGGGTTGCTAAATTCTGTAAACAATTTGTAACGGTTAATGATTAGGAAAGAGGTGTCAGAAAGCTCTCTAGTTTTTTTTCTAATCAAGGATAATTTCCAAACATCAATTTCACATTTTAAAATTTGAGGATAGGGTATTAAGATCATAGAATGACTGACAATAATAATGGCATTTTATATCACATCCATCAACACACATATTTACATTTACATACACACATTATGTATAGATATAAAATGCCTCAAGAATATCTGTGATTTCTGAAATCACCAAAACAAACTTGAAAATTTTGTTTATTTATTTAGTCATCCAAAAAGAGAAATTATTTATAGAACATTCAAAATTCCTCCTAAACAATGGAACAGATTAGAACACACAGAGTCATAACCACAAAAATATAGTTATCTCATACTAGACAAAGGCACCAAAAACATACATTACAGAAAAGATAGCCTATTTGACAAATGGTGCTGGAAAAACTGGAAATCCATATGTACTATAATGAAACTGAATCCCTATTATACTGCACAGAACTCAACTCAAAATGGATCAAAGCCCTAGGTATTAGACTAGAAACCTGCACTAAATAAAAGAAAATGTAGGCCCAACTTCCTACTACGTTGGCTTAGGAACCAAATTCCTCAATAAGACTTCTAAAGCATAAGAAGTAAAATAAAAAATCAATAAATGGAGTGAAATCAAACTAAAAAGCTTCTTCACAGCAAAGGAAATAATCAAGAGTGTGAACAGAGAGCCTACAGAATGAGAGAAAAATCTTTGCCAACGGCACCTCAGATAAAGCATTAATTTCCAGGATATACAAAGAACTAAAAAAGCTTAACACCATAGATAATCAATAAAAGGTCAAAGGAACTAAATTGACACTTTTCAAAAGAAGAATACAAATGGTCAACAAATTTTTAAAGAATGTTCAACATTCCTAGCAATTAGAGAAATGCAAATTAAAACTACACTGAGATTTCACCTCACTCCACTCAGAATGACAGTTATCAAGAATACAAGTAACAATAAATATTGGCAAGAATGTGGTGAAAAAGGTACACTCATTCATTGCTTGTGGTACTGCAAATTGGTACAACTACTGTGGAAAGTGGTGTGGAGATTCCTCAAATAACTAGAAAGGAAAACACCAAGTCATGCCACTCTGCAGTATATGGAGTTAAAATCAATACACAGTGATGTAGCCACATAAATATTTATAGCAGCATAATTCACAATAGCTAAGCTATGGAACCAACTTAGGAATCCTTCAACAAATTAGTAGATAAAGAAAACATGGTTTATAGACAATGGAATATTACTCAGCCATAAGAAAGAATTAATTTATAACATTTTCCAGTAAATGGATGGATCTGAAGACTATCATACTAAGTGAAATCAAGTAATCCCCAAAACCAAAGGTAGAATGTTCTCTCTGATATGTGGAAGCTAACCCAGAAGAAGGAGGGGAGAACAGAAGTTCAGTGAATTAGACAAAAGGGATGAAGGAAAGAGAGGGGATAGGAATTGGAAAGACAGTGAAATGAATCTGACATAACTTCTCTTAGGTACCTATATTAATATACAACAGGGTATCTCAACATTGTGTATATCCACAAGACTGGGATCCTAATGAGAATAAGATATATTCCATGTTTGTCTAATCATGTCAAAATAGACACTACTCTCATGTATAACTGAAAAGAACAATTTAAAAAAAAATCTTCCTAGAATGGAATTGTACATCATTTGTACATTGTAAAACACCATAAAGCATTATTCATATACACCACATAGTATAGAACAGTCTCTGGCTGTTGTAGTATATAGATCACTTGCACTTGGCCCCTGAAGCCTTTGTTCCTACTAGGCTAGTAGGGTGGGGAGCTAAATGCAGGAATTATAAGAGAGTCTGCTTCATGAAGATTTCTATAGTGCAACCTCTGCAGCTCACCCCCCTATCTCCTCTGTCTCTCTGGCCTGATTCAATTATTAGTACTATGAGGGGAGAAAGAAGAAATGTGTTAAATGCTTCCACTAAGAAACATACTGTCAGAAATACTAGTCCCTCAAGATATTTCATAAGTACCAGCAGAATGCTTAATCCATCAATAATCAAAATTTATCCTCTAAAAATGCAGAGGCCTCTTATAGCCTCTGCCAAGCAGATATGAAGATAAAGCTCAGTGTGGTTTGATCTTAAGCCACCATATATTCTCTAAAATAATGTAATCAATCAAGTATCCCATGCTGCTTTAAAAGGCTAAGAAACAAAATTTTACACTTAACCAGTAAGACATATTTATAATATGTTAGACTACAATATAGTCAAGAGATTAAATTTAACTCCTGCTTCTGATTCTACAATTACATATGACCTCATTGTGAACCAGTAAAACTGCTCAAAACAAAAAGTTAAGAGAATGTTAATCAGAACTTTGTTTGAAATCCAGTTCTGAACAAACTATGATTCATTTCCCTAACCAACATATAAATATTTCAAAAACATAATTTTGAATTAACAAAACTTTTAGGTGTCCATGGTATGTAGGTACAAATTAAGTGTTGGCGAGTTACAACTTACACAGAAAAACAACCATAGAATTAATTGTAGATAATATTGTAAAGAATACAAAATAAGAAATTAAAGTATATGCAATGTGTTTCTAAATGGAATGAATTAACCAAAGTCATTATGACTTCCAGATAATGTCCCTAGTTTATTTCCTGGATGTCTACCCATCTACAGGCTGGCCTGAGCAAACTTACAAGTTTGATACACATAATACATACAGTGAACTTAGGAAATAAAAATGCACCTGAAGCTACCAGATGGAACTGAGGGACTGCTCAGCATTTGGTTTTCTTCTTAGTTAATAAACATGAACTCCCATTACACACATCATGGTGAAAACAAGTTCAAGTTCATTAGGACAAATAATATTTAAAGGAAAAAAAATGTTTGTTTTTCCCTCTAAGATTCCCCCAATGTCTTCACTTTGACATAAAGTACTATCCTGTTCCAAAAAGCCATTGATACTTATCCAAGTTTGAAAGGGCAACTTACCACACTGCAGGCAAAATGAAAGCATTTTCAAATGAACAGGGAAGCATGCATGATCAAGTTTCAATTTAAAAGAAAAATTAAGACAGAAAAAAATCTCCAAGTGCAAATTGCTTCGAAATGACCTTTTATATGTATTGGCTTTATCTCCAAACAGTTATTTTCATGGGGCATTGCTTATTATGCATTTAAAATTGATCTGTAAATTTTAAAAAGCAAGCATGTAATAGCAACCATATGTAAACAACATACTAACCCAAGTCCTGTCCGTTTACAAATGTTTCACTGTGAAATTCATATGCCTGAACCTATTTTTGAAGACATTTTAAAAGGCAGTTTAAAGCATACCAAAACAAGCCTCCTGTAAGATTTTGCATTAGACTTTCATACAGCAAGTAAAGTATAGAAAGAAAACAGCAACATTGGACCATAATCATACAATGAAAGTTACTAATCTCTTGGCTTGTGTTGTTCAAAAGTAAAACTTCTGAAAGCAAAGCGAATATGAAATATTGCACAGCCAGTCAGACACTCTCTGAGTATTAATTATGTATATCCAATAAAATATTACATTAAATCTTTCATCGTTGCCAGGAATTTTAAAATTCAGAGAAGAGAGAAATCAAACTTGAAGAGTAAGAATCTCCATAAATTAGCAAAGTAAAAGGTCACTTGCTCATAATCTTTGGAGGAAATACATATACATGATCCAACTGAAGCAGAAAGCCCCTGTAGATCCACAGGCAACTCTTACCTTGACAGGTGCCATTTTTCTCTTCATATCCTTCCTTGCACATGCACTTCCCAATGGGCACCAGCCACTCCCCTTCAGCACTGCAGTGCATTTTGGGAGGTTCATCTGTCACAGAATGGTTGACGCAGGAGCCTGACACCTCAAGCAACTGTGAAGAATCTGCTCCAGTGATAGTGTCAGGGAAGACAGCCAAGTGCCGTATCACAGAGGGGCATTTTTTATAGTATACACGCACAGAAACCAGAGCAATGCAAGCACCAACATCTTGGAAAGCAAGATAAAATCCCTTTTTGCTTAGAGGTCCTACATCTCTGACCTCTGTATTCAGTTTCATGACACGGTCACCAAGATCAAGTTCCGTAAAGCTCTCATCAGCAGCAATGGTATCGATTTTGATGTACTGGTTTTCCTTGATGTTTCTTCCATTCTCATCATCTGACTCAAAATAATACATGTTAAAAGTTTCCTTACAGGTTCCCAGTCCTCCAGGAAGGCTGTTACAGTCTCGCAGAGTGAACTTGAGTTCTATGAAGATTCTGGAAGCACCTTCATTGGATATCCAACTGGTCAAAAGCCAGTTATTCTGATTCTGTTCCATAACTTTGCATACTTGGTATGTGTGGATAGGGGCATAATTTTCATCAACTTCACCAATCTCTTCCCACTGTACAATATAAAAAAGAGATAAAGAAATTTTTGAAATAGAAAACAAACAGGAAAAATAGAAAAAAATCATGAAAGAAAATCCATTCATGTATAGAAATCTCCATAAACTCCATATACAGTATTGAGAGAAAGAGCCCTACAAATTTGGGAGAAGAAATTAACAAGAAATTTTATTCTTTTTTTTTGGTGCTGGGTATTGAACTTAAGAGTGTCACCATGCAACTTTGCACTCCAGCACTGAGCAACACCCTTAGCCCCTCCTTTTTTAAATTAAAGAAATTACAAGCTCTTTGGATTTACTCAAAGATGAACAAATATGAATGATATGTTCCAATATCTTTTGGGGAGGAGGCATGTACTTCAGAGTAGAAGTAAAATAAAATGAATGTAGTTAAGATAAATAAAAGCAAAGCGGAGAAAGTATGTATTTTTGGAAGAACGGTAGTATATAAACAAATAGGATCGATGCTATGGTTTGGATAATATTTCCAAAAGATCCACATGCTAAAGGTTTTGTCCTCCTCCCATGAAGCTATTGAGAGGTGGTAGAATCTTTAAAAGGTTTGCCATAGTAGGAAGTCTGTAAGTCATTGGGGACATGTCCGCAAAGGGATGTTAGGTCCTTATTCCCTTCCTGTTCCTCCAGTTTGTTGTCTGTCCATGAGGTAAGCAGTATTGCTCTGTTACAAACTCCTGCTATAATTAGCTGCCTCATCATAGGTCAAAAAAAAAAAAATGGGTCAACTGATCATAGACTGGAACCTTGAAAACTATGAGCCAAAATATACCCTTTATCTTTATAATTTGATTAAATAAACGTTTGTCATAGTAGCAGAAAGGTAACACATAAGATAAAGTATGAGAGGGGGAAAAATGTCTAAATTTGTAAAATAAAATGAGAAAAGAACAGCAAATGTGAAAAAGAACGTGAAAAATGTAACGTGAAAAGTCACTTATTTAATTCTGTCACATGACAAATAGTACATTGATGTAATATAATATGAAAAAAATACATTAGTTTAAAATTAATACTAGATCTTTATTTCATTGAACCTAGCAACTCAGAACTTTTTCACTAATTGGATAGCTAAATATGTATTCATGAATTTATCTACAAATATAGACACAGATACAAAATAGAAATTACAGGATTATAATATGCACAGCCTTGTAATTTTGAAAATTAACTGACTTGTTATATCCTGTGAATGGATTAATTCCCTCTGATCAATGCATTACTTTATGAATAGTTACTTTAAGATTCTGAAAACGTACAGGATGTAAAAATAATTGAGTATGATTTATATAGCTTTCAAAATATGATCAGTTAAAATAATAGGTATACACCTTTTTTTCCTGATAAAGTACCCCAGTTTTGAGAATCTCAATGTACAATGAGCACTTCCAGAACAGTATTAGCACCAAAGTTTTATTCCTGATAAAGATATCATGATAGCCCAAAACTTTTCTTTAAGCCTTATAGAATGTATATTCACAAAACTATATTTGGTTTTATTTTAAATCATTAAAAAGTCACTGAAACAGAGAGAAAAGAACCCACACTAACTTCCAATAAGTTAAGAATGTGTGACTATTTTAGATAAATTTTATGAGACATTTTTTAGACTTCATATTAAGTGTAGCATTATTTCTTCATTCTGTCCAACTGGCAAAGATGGGCAAAATGTGAAAGCACAAAGGGTGCAAATAAATCTCATACCTCAGATGGCCCTTCTCAAAATTCTAGCTGTCATCAGGCAGACATAAGTAAAAGGTGCTAATGAGATAAAACTGCTGAGTTCCTTAAATTCACATGAGAGACATTAAGATTTTATCTTGCCTAACAAGTTTCACATTCTGCTGTTTTGAGAAGCATTGGTTCTTTCATTTAATCTTATTTTTGTCTTCTCTCAAAATGTATATAAACTCTACTTAGCCTCTGGTTTTCTAAACCAACCTTCTGTCTTACCACTATATCATTAAACTATTCACAAATGATTGAAGTATACATCTCTACATTAGAAATCGTTCCTGTATGTAACAATTAATATTTCATGCAAATCAGCACCTCAACTAACCAAATGAAAACTGAAAATTATCCATCTACCATGACAAATTAAATACATGGTCTTTAGTTTAACAAAAGGAAAATAGCATTAAAGCTCTTCTCTTTAAGAAATAAAAACAAAATATTACACTATTACTTTTTAAATATTTATTTTATGTTATGATAGTCGTCCAAAACAAAATACAAATGGATTTTAAATTGTTCACCTTAAATCACTTCAGAAGACCTATTTCAGCATCATATATTCCAGTAAGATCATTGTAGCAAATAAAAGCAAGCAAAAAAGCAGCAGATTCCAAGACTACAAGCCAAGCAATTCAGTCTTTGTGTGTACGAAGTCCATGGTAGCACAAATATTATTAAACACGCAAGCCAAGCAGCACTTGACAAGACAGCTTAATAGTTACTGCTTCAGGTGATAATTTCAAAGTATGTGCATAAGCATTTTGTTCCTCTGAATATTCTCAATTAAGGAGAGAAAAACTGTAATTTTCTTCAAATTTAAAATCTGTTGTGGTAAGATTTTATTTATTTTTTCTTCTCAAGCATCCAAAATACAAATTAAGGCTCACATTTTATATTTCTCCTTGACAAACAGGAAGACTTTAATTTAAATAATTGTGGCAATAAGCTATTCAAAAAATCAAACAGGTAAAAAATACATTTTCTAAATATGCCCTCCTTTAAACAAATACATTAAGAAATGGACAAAATTATTTCAGTTATTACAGATTATCTAAATAAAAATTTGGAATTCCTCTGTAGTTTCTTCCCTTTTTATATTAAGAGGTCATCTTACTCTCCTCAGCAAAAATCAGCCATGAGAAAGAAAGGTTTGCGGGGTGGGGCAGTGGAGAGAAAATAACACTCACTAAGTAATATGAATATAGTAGGCCAATTTCTAGATACTTTAAAATGTCGTGACAAGGAGGTTACAGAATTTAATGAAGGGCACAGATAGAAAACAATGTTTTTCTGTTCAATTTTGTTGCCTTTACAAATATTCCATGGTGTAATAAAATATTTGCTAATCCCTTGGTTACTGATGAACGTGGGTACTAGGGAAGCACAAATCACTGAATACAATAAGGAGCAATAGCTCTGCTCTCTAGCTGTGGCAGCTCTCATCCTTTGAGCCCATGCTTCTCATATTTTTCCTCCTTATTTCCTATATTCTGCATTTTTTTCTCCTTATTTCCTGTATTCTACCTTAAAATTTGGAAAACTGACTACATAGTCAGCTGGGGTTGGCTTGACTTTTCTTCAAGCCAGTTGCATTCCAAACACATGCCTGATCAGGCTACCTCATTCATCAGGAAAGTGGGGAAGGGGCTTATTTTCATATGTGTATCATGGAATTACCATCTTCCTACCCAAACCATTAAGAAGTAATTGCTCCTTATCTGCCTTTCACTGACCTTTTAGATTTCTTGCCTAAAAAGAAACCGCAATTTCTTGATTCACTTCATTAATTGTTACCACACACTGTTAAAACTAAATATCCATTTTTTCAGTCATCATGTAACCATAAAAATCTTTCTGCCTTTCTTTATATATCTTAACACTCAGAAACCTATATGCAAGTGGACATGCATGATGGTCTTATTATAAACTGCAGCTCAGGATCTGACACTACAGAACACAGAGGAGGGTGCTCAAGAGATATTTTGTATTGAATGAACTTATGCCAAACATGCATGCATTCCCCTTAGTCCAGAAATCCAGTTCATTTTAAATTTCAAATAATTCAAACCTGCCAAATAAACAATTATATGACTGACATTCTATTATAAAGAACAGACGTTCTCTCTGTACCTTTTCTAAACTTTATCAATTCAAATTAGAAAGTTTATGAATTCAGATTTTTTGGAAGTTCTTTTTCAGCAATTTTTTTTATTAAAAATCTCTAAGCATTTATTTAAATATATTTTCTCAAACCAATTATTCATATAATTATTATGAGTTTAGTTTGGCATATTAGCCTGTATAACTATTTTCATTATCATTACATCTTACCAATTATAATTTATAGCTTAATTTAGATATTGTATTCTTGAAAATGTTTTCAGAGTACACATTTTTATTTTGTCACTGATTAGCCTTCTACACTATTCTGTACAAATTAAAATCTCAGAAGATAGTACATCATAGAGTAGTACTGTACCTAAACTCTTGTTTGAGTCAAATCCTCAAATGATATTAAGACAATCTTAGTGGGTTTTGAGGCTTTTTTTTTTTTTTGGCAGAGTGATGTGAAAATTGGGCAAAGAATCATTGTCTTCAGCATTTCTCTGACATGACAAAAACACAACTTTCTAGGAAGACCTTGTTTATTGCTTAAAGGCTTCTTTTTTCATTATCCTTTAATATCACAATATTTTATATAATGCCTTTTAAAACACTCTAAAACAAAATAAGTGACATGCCTCAAATTTTATTCAAAATGTTTTAGATATAATTTATTATATTCAGTGTATGTATCCATGTTGTATTACAGTATGTTTCACTAACTTCATAGAAGATATCCCTATCTTAAGCTACTAGAACACTGATGTTTGAAAAAGAGCAATACTGCTTTCATGATCTTAGAAAATTCCCAAGAACAGTTTGATATGCATTAAAATTTTGAAGTCTGGCATTTTACCCATTTTAACCAAGAACAAAACACTCTAATTCCTACCTCAAAATATATTTACCTAAATGTAGACTTTATGCAAGTTTTCTGCTACTGCATAAATAAAATGAAATTTTATATATACACTTAAAAACTTCAAAGAGTGAGAGTATTTTCTTTTTATTCTTGTGTAGTTAACTGTACTACTTTAAATTTCAATACAGATTTTCAGCTTTATTTTTTCCTATTTTTTATTTTGCTAAATTCCTTAAAATTGATAAAAATGTGTTTATTTAGACCTGAATACATTTCTTAT